CTCGTAACGTGCACAAGCAGGAGCAATGTGCCTACTTCTTTTGGCAGGGTTCAAACAGCACGGTTACTCAACAAGGTGCTGCAGCCCTGATGACAGTTGAACTCGATGAAGAAAAGGGTCCTCAGGTATGAACGCGGAGTGCTTATCTGGAAAAGCGTTCTGGTTTCTCTCGAGATTGGTTAACCAACTCAGGGACTTATCTTGGTTTCAGATGCGCGTCGTTGAGGGGAAGGAACCACCGGCCTTCTGCAATCTCTTCAACGGACGTATGATCATTCATGATGGATTCGCTCCTAAACAGTCCAACAATGGGCCGCTGTCTTTCTTTGACGAGGACGTCATAGTAGGCCTTTGTTTTGTATCGTTCATTATAACTATGAAGTAAATTCGCTACCTCATGGAATGTTGACCAAGTTCCTAAATGCCTCTTAAATTCGAAAAATAGCTTAATTAAATTCGAAGTATTCATTATTACGCTGTCTTATACCAAGATAGTTTGGTCATGTCAGGCTGCCGGCTTTTGAATGAGTTCGTTTGCGTATTCTCGATGTCTCTGTAAATTCAAAAAAAAAAATTAAAAACGGAAAAATGCTCTTCCTTTGACTAGAGTATTTGCGGATGGCATAAATTACTCCAAAATGAGTTCATGAATGGACGTTTTAAAAACGCTTTCAATAAATTATAGTCTGCTTTTTAAAGGCATATTCTGCCCTGGTAGGCATTTTCATTAACAGCTGGAAAGTCACGCATCCGCGAGTCAGTAGGCTAGCCTAATTTTAATGATAGCTCTACAATATTCTCCAATCTTAACCGTATTTCAGAATTTCAATCAGGAAGTACAACACCTACTGTATCTGTCGGTTACCGTGAAATTGGCATCTTATTGAAGAAATTTGGTGGGCTTATCTGTAAGGATCACGGGCCACGGAAATATGAACGTCCCCACCTAACTATTGAAGGTGGTCCTGGGCATAATTCCAGGAAGGGTCTATCTCCTTATGTTCTAACTCTTAAACTAGCCCTACCATTAACGTGAATTTTTGCCCTTACCCTTATTCTACCCTGAATCCTTATCCTAAAGTTAACATTCACTCTAGACTTAACTCTGATGATAAACCTAACCTTGTGTTCCTTGGAATTTGGCGCAAGTATGCCTGCATTCCGGACAGTTCCTGGTTTAATTTCCTGTTTAGGGAGGCCATATAAGTCATCCTGACCAAAAGTAATGGGCGAAAACTCTAGTGGCTTATAAGTGGCAGCAATTTGCACTTGTCACACGTTCAATTCAATATCTTTTTCTTCGATAAACGAACTGACTTCTCCTCCACCCCTGCGTGCGTCTTTCTCCACGTGTTATTTTTTGGAAAATCCCCTTTAGTCGTCCAACGTCCGCATGTTCTTCGTTCGCGGTGAGCGCGCCTCCGAAGCCCACCTCCTTGAGGTGCCT